TACAATATTCAATTGTTGTGATACTACGTGAAGTCATCCACCCCCGAATGTTTCCGCCATTCTGGTTTGGGGGCGTGACAATTCAAAAGCAGTTCCCCTTCTCCGCCTTACTCTCTCACTAAAACCCTAATTAGTCAACTACTATTTGTCGCACCCATCACAACACACATACAAACACAAACACACACCCTGATTGACCAAAAAAACATGACAACCTCTCACTGGAGAAAGAAAGGAAAAGGTATATGCAAATCAAAAAGGGTAATTTTTCTCTTCATTTTATCTACCAGCTAACTCTTGTGGTTTTGTTGGGTTGTGAGCTCAAGATGATTAAAGGTCTAACCTAATATTTCTTAATCTGTTGAGTTACGAGTTTCTTTTTTTTTTTTTTTTGGTTTTTGTGTGTTTCAGATTCTGGTGTTTTGTATGGTACTAGGTTTCTTTGATTTGGATTTTTTGGTTTTAGGATTTGCATCTTTTCCATGGTCAATCAGGAATAAAATTCCTAAGTTATTAATCTAATATTGGTTCTTCTTGATTTAGTTAATCTTGGTTCTTCTTGATTTAGTTCTTACTTCTGTTGAATCCTAACTCATGCCCACGAAGATCAATGAGGTAATAATCAAACCATGATTTCTCCAAATAACCGTCAAATATCCTAATCAACCTCTTTCTTCTCTTATCAGAGGCTTTATATGTATGCAGAAAGTATTTGATAAGATATATATATATATATATATGTATATATATATATATATATATTTTTCAGTTTCAGGTTAATTAAATGATATTTGTTATACTGGTTGATACAAGACTACATGAACTACATGAGGTATATATATATATATATATATATATATATATATATATATATATATATTTAAGGCTTGATGGTTCCTCTACCATAATGGAGCATCCGGACATGGTTGGCTCAAAGTTTGAGAAAGATTCCTTACCACTGCTTTAAATGATATTGGTACTAAATATTGGTTTCATCTTTCACGACAATAAATTTTAAGTTTTAACTTTTATTCTTAATTGATAATTGTAAAGTCACTATATGTGGTTGTAGGTATGATTGGTACAAAGCAAACAATGATTTGAGAGAAGAATTCCATCTAACAAGATGATTATTCACTAAACCTGGTTGTACGACATTACCTTTTCATTTTGTATTTTGAACTTGATTTCAAATATTTAATTTAGTGATTTTACTGAATAATTTTACCTGGTTATTTATACTTCGCTTTACTTAGTCACTTCTTGGTTTATAGGAGTACAATAGTACATAGTTATTTGCTTTACCCAAACTCATTGTATTTCATATTCATTTTTTATCCTTAAAAGTGAAAGACTTGACATGTCATGAGTTTTTTTTGTATGACAGATAAGTTGCAAGATGGCTTCCTAAAACAGGACAGTTGCCCCAATACCTATGCAGAGGACATTAAATGTAATGACAAGGAAGCTTTCACCAACTTTTAGCGAAGCATATATGGAACATATATAAGCTTGGAAGCCGTGGATGAAGGTACTGTCTAATTTATGTTTTTTTATTGCTGTGATTTTTATCTATGTTCAATTTGAGGTGCACCGAGGTTTCAAATTTCACATATGAAAAGAAGTCAAATATAGGAAGCTTATTCATGTTCTAGAAGGTAATTTTGAAAGATTTTGATGGCATATTGAAAGTAACTTATCGAGACTTGAAATGATGAATTTACACGTCTATATCACATAATCACTTGAGTAACTTAAGGGATTAAAAAATAGGAAACATCATGGAATTCGGAGGTCAACACATATTGCAATGAACCGGAGCACACTTTTAAATATCCCATAACTCTATTTGATAGTTAAATAATTAATGTTTTTTAAATATCTCCTAACTCTATTTGATAGTTAGAGAATTAATGTCTTTTAAATTTTGAATTTACCTTTATATCGTGAATGTTCTTAATTGTTCGTGTGAAAAAACTATTTGTCATCATTGCCTCGTAAATATAACATAACATGTTTCCAAATGAAATTAATTGCCAAGACAAATTGTTTACCGCCGCCGCTTTGCGCGGGCACACAACTAGTATATATATATATATATATATATATATATATATATATATATATATATAATCCAAAGGAAGTCAGGAATAGTACAATTTATGCTTTTAGATTTTTGACACAAATGTATAGTGAACATGACACTTTTAATCCCTAAAGTCATAACTTTTACATTTTTATGTTTTGATTAAGTTTTTGTGCTTTTAGGTTTTTACCACAAATATTTAGCGATTTTGACACTTTTCGTTCTTGCAGTGAAAAGTTTTAAATTTTGATGTTTTTTGCCACAAATCTCTAATGAATTTGAAACTTTTCGTCATTATAGTCAAAACTTTTACATTTTGATATAAAAAACACAAAAAACTCCTTTAGAATTTCGCCACCACATTTTCTCAACTTTTAAAATTTTGGATTTTCTCCACCATTGTCCCTTGTTTTGGTTGTTGTACACTTTTGACATCTAATTTTAGGGGTTGTAGACTTTCTCTCGTATTTATGGTGATTTACACTTTCAGCACATATCTTTTAAAGTTTGCCGATTTTTTCCATATTACCCCGAAAACGGCACATGCGCGAGTTCTTTACTAGTTTCTATTATTTTTCCCACACTTCGCATGCGTATCTATTGGAAAATACCAACAACAAAGTCCAATATATATGTTTGAAGATATATATTTGGGAAGACAACTTGAACGAACATTTATTTCAATGGAATTAGATCTACCATATATAATTGTTAAGTCTTTTAAATTGCCCACATTGTCGGACCGTTGATTTTGAAAGCCTTGTGTGAAAAATAAAACTCGGTCCTAAAAATGATTTTTTATGTAAGAAAAATTGTTGACAAATTTAAAGTCTTTCATGTCAAATTTGAAAAATATACTTAAAAGATAAAGACATTAAAGATCCGTAAATTTAAGGGGGATAATGTCACTGTAGCACATGGAACTTTCATCAATTGACTTATTTGGTCCTTAAAGATTTTGTTGGTACATTAGGCCAGTAAACTCGTAAGTGACCCTTTAATTACACTATTTGATCAAGTTTTAGAAGGTTTCCCGGTTACAATGCTTATGTGGCACGTTGATGTGTCCAATAAGCTTACGTAGGAAGCTTATGTGTCGATGTAGTCCAGTTGTTGATATAGGCTTATTAATTCAAACCCTCATTCGGACCTCTATTAAATCTTTACTTACCCTTATCTGAAAAGTCAAAGACTTCTCCCTCCCCGACTATTTCCATCCTGAAAAAGAATGTCTTCGAGCTCATAGACGTCAAAGAATCAGCTACAAGTCACTCACGTTCAGTCGCAAGAAGGGGTAAAGGTTTGTGATTGTGTCGTTCCAGCTAAAGAACAAACCTATTAGAAGATAACAAACCCTGGGAGACGATTTTGGAATTGTCAAAATAGTATGGTAGGTCCCGATTCTCTTGATTTTGATAAGTTAGTATTTTATGGTTTGATGTGTTGTTTCTTTCTGTAAAGACGATAATGGTGTATTTGTATTTTGTTTCATCTGTTAAAAACCCTAATTTTATTTTCTTCTTGACGATCACTGTGAATAAAACCCGTTTCGTTGGTACATTAAAGGTAGTTGATTTTTTATTGTCAGTCAAACCCTAATTTTATTGGCTTTTTATAGACTAGGTTGAGGAAATGTAGCTTCTTTGAATGGAAAGATGAAGAACAGGCAGAAAGGTACTACAAAAACCTGCTATATTCTCTTAAGCAGAAACTGGATACCAAAGATGAACTGTTTAAGATGAACAAATTGAGGAGAAGGATTGCTGAAGTGGAGTTTCTGCTGTCACAAGAGTAGTATAAGGTGACAAAGAGTGAGAAAGAAGTTCATGATGCAAGGAAGGCAATAGGCAGGTACAGCATGATAGTTGCCCTGTTGTTTGCTTGCTTGGCCCTATGTGTTTTGAAGTTAGGGGGGTGATTGTAGTAATGTGGTTGGTTAGTGTAAGCTTTTGTTTTTTTGGGATCCCTTGTATTTTTTGTAAAGGCAGACTAGAAAGTCAGTAATGATGGGCATTTTGTATGTATTGAAGCTGCTTTTAGTTATAAGTTGGGGTTATCAACCTTAATGTGTTGATGTTGTAAGGTGGTAAGTCCCTAATGAAAGGGCATATGATAAGTAATGTAAAAAAAATATTCAAAGTCCCAATTGTAGGGCATTTTGTATAATCAGATGATGTTAATCAAACATATGCATGGTCTGTATTCCCAACAAATATATTTAATTAGATTGGTTGTTGTGCATGTTTTAAATTTGGGAACAAATTAGGAAGTGGTCCATGTGGAAGTACACTATGTGTATGAGGACCATTTGTAGTCAGTGAGTGTTTTTATATTGAAAAAATGGGACCTGTGAAGCAATTAAAAAATCGTATCCGGGACCATATAAAACATCCCCATGCATACACATTATTCCAATTTTTCCATGCATAAATATTCAAAGCCAAATGTCATGATTTTACTTAAAAAGGCAACATACTTTCATACTTATGTCATACATAAATAAATGACCAACATACCCTTTTCTGTCATACATAAATAAATGACTAACATACCCTTTTATGTCATACATATTTAAATGACCAAAATACCCTTTTCTTGCATACATAAATAAATGACCTACATACCCTTATCTGTCATACATAAATAAATGACCAACATACCCTTTTCTTTCATAAATACTTGACCAAAATACCCTTTTCTTTCATACATACTTAAATGACCAAAATATCCTTTTCTTTCATACATACTTCAATGACTAAAATACCCTTTTATGTCATACACACTTAAATATAAATTACCAACATCCTATTACATAAACTTTAAATAAAAATTACCATCATCCTATTACATAAACTTTAAATCCAATTTACCATCATCCAATTACATAAACTCTAAACACAAATTACAATAAACACTAATCAATTACAAGAGCTTTTCCCTTCGAATTTCCTGGATCATCAACACCACCAATTGTTTTGCCTAATTTCAGCTTCAATATTCTCTCTGACTTTTTTTTCCTTATCCTCTTCAAAATATCTGAAATTGGCCTAACACTAACCTGCTGAACTTGGACAACAGGAGCAACCTCCTGAACATTACCATTATCAACTTGGGCATTAGGATTAACCTCATCAACCTCTTGAACATTTACATTATCAACTTGGATAACAGGATCAAGCTCCCTAGCCTCCTCATCTTGAACAACTTCCTCAACCACAACAACTTCCTCAACCACATCAGCTTCCTCACCCATAATGTCACACCCCAAAACCAAGAATGGCGGAAACGTTCCGGGGTGGAGGACGTCATGTACAGTATCACAACAGTGTAAAGTAGTAAATAAGCAACAACATCATCCATTGCATTATAAGTAAAGTTTTAATACATGTGTGTTCTTTCATTGTAATAAGACACCAAAAATATACAATCAAAATAAAAGACGAGACTTGTCTGTGCTCCGTCTTCTCAAAACCTGGCCATCGTACCTGTCTACTGGTGACATGAGAATACAAGTTATTTTGAAAGAGAGTATCAACTTTAAAGCTGGTGAATTCATAAGTATTTAAGTGTCATTGTCTTGCTTTGAAAAACTGTTATGAATGTCATGTAAAACCTTTAAGTAAGACAGTTGATATAAGTATGAAAAACCCTAAGAAATCCCTTATTTCCTACTAGTATGAAATGTAGTCTTATACCAAGACCCGAATGTTATGTTATGACAATGTAGTCTTCTACTAAGACCCGAATGTTTTGTTATGACAATGTAGTCTTCTACCAAGACCCGAATGTTTTGTTATGATAATGTAGTCTTCTACCAAGACCCGAATGTTTTGTAAGTAAAATGATAGTTTTTCCTTCTTTTTGACTACTGCAAACAGTAATTGGTCTAACTCATCGTTTATCTGAATATATCACAAAATAAAGTAAATAGGAAAAATATAACCATGTAAGTGTTATCCCTGGATACCAAGACTAACATGCTATTGCAGTAAGCAATATGTATAACCTAATGAACATCCGAAGATTGTCCAATTGTCCTCTGTAGCAGTAGCAGGTTGGAGGAAGGGTTAGTCCCGTAGCTGACTCCTAATATAATTGAATAACCTAATAATCATCCGAAGATTTTCATCTCATCCTCTGTTGCAACAGCAGGATGGAGGAATGGTTAGTTCCCGATATCAATCTATCTATTATAAGTGATAACCTTAGACATCCGTGGATGTTCATCACCTAGTAGTGCTAACAGCTGGGTTCCGGAATGGTTAGTCCCATCTAGACATCCCATCGAATAGGGATAGGCAGGAAAAAATTACGCAGAAGGTACGAATAAATCTTCCTCATAACTCTAGGTACAAGTATCCAGGTAAGTGAATACAGGATAATGTATCTATGTAACAATACTCATGTATGGTATTCATGTAAGTGTATTCAGATAAATGTATCTATGAAAACGTACTTATGTATCATGTAATTTTAGAAAAATGTACTCATGTATCATGTAATCGTAGATAAATGTACTCATGTGTCATGTAATCCTAGATAAATGTACTCATGTATCATGTAATATACTGGTATAGACTCATGAATGAACTGATTCTTGTGTGATTCCTTGTAATAGGAATATTGTTTTGTATCTTGTAACTATCCCTATGATAATTAACTGAAAGGCAGTTGTTTGTTCAAGAAGGTAAACATAATGGTTTTGCAAGGTATCTAAGAGTTTTGAATAATAATTAAGAGTGACTTGATGTCGTGTTAATAAACATTTCAAAACTAATACTTTTGTTATCAAGGTATTTTAAGATGGAAAACCATTTCATGCATCACATTTTGTAGTATGTGAAATCTGCTGGATGAAAACACAGTTATAAAATACATATGAGTGATTTAATAACATGTTGTTTTCTACTTGTATTCCCCCCATTAAAGCATTTAAAAACATTTAAAATATTCATTTAGGGGTATGAACTCACCTGCAAATGGTGGTTTGGATGAACTGGTCGGTGTAGGATTGTTAGGTGTCAAGTGAGGACTTGTACACACACTATGATCCTAATGAACATATAATCACACATATATGCACTCAATTAGTCTTAAATTACTAATTGATAATGCTAAGACATCCTAGAATATAATAAACACTTTATATAAGTGTTATAAGCCCTAAGGATTGCATCTAAGCTATTGTGGGGCAAGGCACTTGGGTTTAGGGTTCCAAAGGACCCTATACTTGAGTTTACTCTCCATATAACTTCACACATGGAGTTTACGGCCGTAAACTCCAAGGCTCAGTGTCTTTGGTTGTTTTAAGGTGTTAAATAATCCCTAGAATCATTCCAACTTTGTGGGTTAAATCTTGGAAGGGTTTAAGGCATAGAAACACTCCTTTGAGGAGTTTACGGCCCTAAGGCCATTTCCTTTGGAGTTTACTGCTGTAAACTCCCTTTTAATGGTGTTGTTGATGCTTTCAAGTCTCTTGCACATGTAGTATAGGTCTTAGACTTTTATCCCAAGCATATGAAGGCCTTAGGCACACTTTGGTGCCCTTCTTTCATGTTTACGGCCCAAGAGCTTTATTAAGGCCGTAATCATCCAAAATGATTTGTTTTTGATGTGTTTTGGTCCTTGATTTAAGTGGAAACAATTCCTAGTAATTGTCTAAGGCTTTAGGTGCCTTAAAAGCACCCTTTGATCCAAGTTATTGGAGTTCACGGTCCAAGATCATCTTGGGCCGTGAACATCCATGTTTTTTTGTTTCTTGGTTGTTTTCTTGTCCCAAACACACATATAAATGAGTCTAAGGTAGTAGCATAACACAAGGGAAGGTCTAGGCATTGTTTCGGGAGTTTACCGCCCAAGAACACCTTGGGGAGTAAACACCTAAATCTAGTTATTTAGCTATCTAAATCATGTTATAAACACATAATAAGCTTTCTAACACTACTAGAGAGAGTTACTCACGTTTTGGTATAAAAACCCGAAGATCTGTGAGAGAGAAAATGGCTTTTCTCTAGTTAAAAATGTGAATAATGAATGAAATTGGTTCAGAATTCTATTTATAGTCCTGAGATTTTTGGTAGAAAATATTTTATTCCCGAAATGATCTCTAATATAATAGAGTATTGGAATAATAGTGTTGCACAAAACCCTAGTGCATCCACTCTCCTGATATTTCCTGAAGTGTAAACCCTAAGTTACTCAAACTTATACGGAAAAGTCTGAAAGTTTACTGTAACTGATATAACTTCTATTGAAGTGATATTGTTTGTACATAATGGAAATTCCGGGTTGTCACACATAACACCCTCATCACCTTCATAACATCTAGGTGGAGTAAATTGCATATAATGACTAAAATCCCCTGCACTACTAGATTCAACATCAGTAGGAGCAACTTGCATATCATTTTGAGTAGTATCCATCTCAATTGGAGTCATTTTAACCTCTTCATGTTGTTGTGGTTCACTTGTACTACCTTATATGGCATGATATAATTATGTTAGTAACAAATTATATGTAATTAATTTTATATTTTAAATTGTTTTATTTGTCCTGCATTTTGCTTCACACAAACTTTTTGTTTCTTCTGTTTCTTTACATTTAACTTTTGGGGACTTCTTTGTGGACAAGTGGCCTTGTTGTGACCTATCTCCTTGCAAGTACTACATCTGATTTTCTTTCCAGCCTTAGAAACCCTATGTGTTCCTGTATTCTCTATAGTGGATTTCTTCCTCTCAGTAGTTGGCCTACCATGCATCCTTCTATTAATAAGAGGCAATGGTGGAGTATAGTTTATCTCTGGCCACATGTCACTGCTATTCATGGGAGCAATTCTGTAATTGTATGCCTTTCCTAAATGTGGTTGTGCTAAACATGTTGTCTACATAGGCTTCTACATCTCAATTAAGAAAGGATATGCTAGCTACAGAATGAGCACATCCATATCCATTCAATTGCCACAACCTACATGAGCATGTTTTCCTTTCTAGGTCCACCTCATATGCATCTATTGTTCCCCTTACCTCAAACTGGTTTAATCCTCTTGGTAGTACCTGATAATGCGTTTGAGCTTTTTTAAGCAAATTCACCTTATCCCTTATGTCTGGACAGATATGATTTCCCTATTGTTGTCCCTTTTAACTTCATGTTGTAGATTATGTCCATCATGTATAATGTTATCTCCTCTAACATGGTTATTATGGGATTCTTCCTGGCATCTACTATTACAACATTAAAACTTTATGAGAACCCATTTTCAACTACATCACAACACCTTCCAGTTTGAAAGAAAGCTCTTGACCATGTTTTAGGATCTTTCTCCATGAGATATTGATGGGCATCTGGGTTCAATGTCTCAATTTCTTTTATCACAACTTTAAAAGCATGCTCAGTTGTGGCTTTAGATGCTCTCCAAAACAAGGTATGAAATATGGCACCAATAAATCTCTTCTGCAACTTCTGGCAAATATGTCTAGCACACTGCCTGTGCTCTACATATGGCATCAACTCTTTAACAACCTCTATCAAACCCTATAGTAGTACAAATGTTTAATTCAGATAGTGTAAAATAAACATAAATGCATTACTATGTAAAATACTAACCTTATGTTGGTCTGACATTAAACTGAAACCATTGCCTAAATTAAAGTTTAGATCATCAATGAGAAGCTCTAAAAAACACTTCCAATTTTGCTTGTTCTCCACATTAACCACTGCCCAAGCAATAGGATATATATTTTCATTTGCATCCCTCCCAATAGCACAAAGAAATTCTCCCTTACAAACACCTTTAATATATTTTCATTTGCATCCATCAAGACCAATTACCCTTCTACACCCTTCAATCCAACCTTGTTTAGCTCCTTGAAAACAACAATATAACTTGCTAAAATATTTATTTCCATCTGGACCATCCTCCATATCTAGTTTCACAGTTGACCCAAGATTTTTCCTTGAATTCTCATGACCATATGACCATAGCTTACCATAATGTTCAACAAGGCTACCTTTAACAAGTTTCAGTGCATACTTCTTTGCTCTTCTACATTGCCCCATACTAACTTGGATACCAAACTTGGCCATTACCTTTAACCTAAGCTTCCTTACACTTATTTTCTGACTTTCAACAATCTCTTTGGTATAGTGACTCCCAATCCATGCATATGTCACCAATGATCCAAACTTGAAGTTCCTAGCACAATTATGATCAACTTTTAGTGACTTGATTTGGAAACTCTCTTCATCACTCATCCAGGAAGCCCATAATCTAAATATGCAAGCACCCTTGCTACACCTCACCAAAAGTCTTGTCCTATCATTTTTTTCAAAACACAATTGATATCCATTAGCTACAACATAGTTACACAACATTGATTTTACTTGCCCTCGACCCTTAAATCTCATCCCAAGAATTGGTTTTTGTTTTTTCCAGTGTAATAGCTCATTAAATATGGAATGAGTTTGTATGTTAACTTCAACGTCTCTCCGATTGTCATCATCTACAATGTTGTTTTCATCCTCATCATCAACACATAACTTACTCAAGAAAGGATCATTTGATGTCCTATTCATATGCACTACATCCTCATTAAATTCAAAGGTAACATTTCTAAGTTCATCTATGTTGTCTTCATTTTCACCATCCATATAAGACTCATGTTCATCATCATCTTTATCTTCATCATCAAGCCACCCATCAACACCAACCCCAATATGATCCACATAAACCGAAATTATATCATCTGTTCCATAAGAATAAAAAATAAAAGCAGCATATTCCACATCATTTGAAATGGGATTAAGCCCTTCCATCAGGGAATTTCCTGGTTCACAATAGTAAAACTTTTTACACTCTTCATGCATGAAACGTTCGAAGAAGTTAACAGACTCATGATAAGTCATAGAAGAAAACTCAACATCAGTGAACATGGTTTTCACACCACCAGTGTAAGAGAAAGGATTTCGATTAAATACCCCTTGGTAGTTCAGTTCCACCATCGCAAACAATCCATTAGGTTCCGATTGTGCCATTGTTGCGACTACTTTGTTTCTTTAGCTCGATCACAGGAATGCTTCACAAACCCTAACTCGGTTTCTTTTACAGCTGATTAAGGAAGACGACTGAAGTTCAATAGTTAAAGACGATAGGATTTAAGCTTCTTATATCATTAATTGATGTGGCATATCTCACGTGTCATTGGATTAGACAAAATATATATATTAATTCACATATATTAAAGGTCAACCGGGAAACCTTCTAAAACTTGATAAAAGGGTACAATTAAAAGGTCACTTACGAGTTTACTGGTCTAATGTACCAAAAAAAACTTTAAGGACCAAATTAGCCAATTGATGAAAGTTTCATATGCTACAGTGACATTTTAAGGGGTTCTTTTTCAAATTTGATTTCGTACTTGATGTATTTTTCTTCTTCTTCTTCTTCTTCTTCTTCTTCTTCTTCTTCTTCTTCTTCTTCTTCTTTTTTTTTTTTTTGCAAATTTGTAATCTTAAGGGACAAAAATAAAATAAAATAATTAATAGATTTTGGAGGTTAACAAAAAAAAGTTGTTATTTGGATAAAACCAACAAAATTTAGCAAACTGATTTTAATGTCAAAAGCCTTTTAAAATAGTATCAGTATTGATTTGGTTATACAGTAAAACCTCTATAAATTAATAATATTGAGATTGAGATATTTTATTAATTTAGCAATGTATTATTATATCGATAAATTAATAAATTATTAATTTAAAGAGTTGGCTTATATTCGTGAGCAACTCTTCACCACTTTTTGTTGCAATACAAGAATACAGTGTTTTAACTCTTAAGTGTAATTGGGAGATTTAAAGATGGACTCAATATGGATTTGAAGTTCACAAAAGACAAGTGACTATAGATTCATTTTTTACTAGACATTTCTAGAATTTTGGAATATTTTAGTGGTTATTAATTTATAGTTTCACAGTGAGCAATATATTTACATTGGTGTAACGACCTAAATTTCCAATAAAAATTTTCATTTTTAAATAATGAAATCATTTCCACAAAATATAAAATTCCAATCACATTTGTTTTCAAAATTCATAACATCAGACAATTTACTCATAACATTAGAGTGTCCCCAACAAAATGCCTAAGAGTGCATGTCGCGCCATCACGTTGGGATCTTACCCTTAATCCCGAAGTACCTGAAACAACCAACAAACTGTAAGCTAATGCTTAGTGAGTTTCCCATAACATACCCCACACAACCCGTATAATCATATAACCGTATCAACCATATAAGCCATGCATATAAACATATACAAATGTTGTGGGCTCCCCCAGGGTCTTACACCTATGTGTCATGGGCACCTCCCAAGGTCTTACTTGGAATACCGTGGGCACCCCCACATGGTCTTATAACCAAGTGTCATGGGCACCCCTATGGTCTTTACCTGGAAAGCCATGGGCACCCCCACATGGTCTAACAACCAAGTTTCATGGGCACCCCTATGGTCTTTACCTGGAATGTCATGGGCACCCCCACATGGTATGACATCCAAGTGTCACGGGCTCCCCGCGGGGTCTTCCATGCAAGTATCAAAAAATATGAATTGTAGTTGAGTAGGTCCAAACTCTGAGTATTAACTCTACCACCTCCCTAAACATAAACAACTCCTTTGATACAGCTCAACCCTTCAAACCCTTAAAAGTCAATCCTAATCAAGGTCAAAGTCAAAGTCAACATTTCGAGTTGACCTAACTCGTCGAGTTACCCCTTTAATTCATCGAGTCCACCCCAAAGTCAGAATCGTGATACCGCGACCCAACTCATCGAGTTTTCCTATAACCCGTTGAGTTTCTCCGTTTTCCCACAGAATCGGGGTAACCCTAACCCAACTCGTTGAGTTCCCCTGTGAACTCATCGAGTTCTTCAGTCTGTCAACCCAATTAATGCATTAAGCCCTTTTTCTTGAATGTTTAGAAAGGTAAAGCCAAACTTTAGATCCCCATCCCTAGAAATGTCTAGAAGGGTAAAGTTTCCAACTTTACCCCCAATGATCATCTAATAAGGTCTAAACCCAAACCCTAGTTCCTTTTAAGGAAGGTCTTGACTCATTAAGCCTTTAAACTCTCATCTCATCGTCCCACAACACATATTTGATGTCTAAAGGTGGACAAATCATGTAAAGTTTATAACTTTACGTCCGTGCATACTTGAAACACTCTTCAAGGTTCATTTTAGGCTTCATAGTGGACATATTGCATGAATGGGACATGGAGGTTATTAAAGTTTGCAACTTTAATCCTCTAGAGGTCTTATAGAGGCAAGATCTACACCCTCAACCTCTAGAAACCTCTTTTCTTTGGACATCCAAGCCAAAGTCCCAAAACCAAGCCCTAAACTACAAAAGATGAGATCTAATAAGCTACATGTCAAGGTTATGACTTTACACCTCCAAGATGCAACCTTTGATGTAGAGTTTCTGGATCCAAGATCTCTCTTCCAAGCTTGATACTTCTCTCTTCAAAACATCCTTCAAAGATCTCAAACAATCACTCAACTCTCACAAAACTCAATGAATAAGAAGGGGAGGTGATTCTAGGATTTTCTCTAGGCAAGGAGGCTGGTAAGCAGGTCAGCCCTAAATGTTAAGTCCTTTAAATAGGGTACAATGCCCGAAAATTAGGGTTTTCGTTTCCAGCGTCAACTCGTCGAGTTGGGGCTCCCCAACTTGTCGAGTAGGTCCTCCAATCTTCGCGGCTGGGAAGCTTTCTACTTGTCGAGTTGGAGCCTCCCAACTCATCGAGGTCCTTCCAAAAACATTAGAATTAATTCGTACTTGGACCACGTGTTACAATTGGGATTTCAAAAAAATTATTTTATTATTTTATTGATTGGGTTCAATTTTTTATTGGTCCCAAGTTAGAACTGAACAAATTATTAAATTTATCGAGGTTGTTAATTTATCGAGTATTAAATTATAATGGTTCTACTATAACTAAAAAACAAAACAACAATTTGATTTCATTCATTTGTTTTGCTTTAAAATTTTGACTTTATTTGATAATAGAAACATATGCATTTGCAAGGAAAACTCAAACAATGTTTTTAAGTTCTAGGGGATGGTGGAATTTCTTGACTTTGCTTTCTGTTGGGCTAATTGCCCCAAGGAAAAAGAGGATTTTAATCGCGATGCTCTACTGTTTCATTTGACGAATTTGGACGGCGAGAAACAACAATGTTTTTAAAAACATATCATCTTCTCCAACACATGACGCAAACAATGTTATATCATTATCATTTACATAGTCCAAACACAAGAGTCGATTAGTTGATACTGATTTGGTGCAATTATGTTGTAATCCGTTTTGAACTTTTCCTGTGTGCTACGTATTTTGTTGTTGTGTCAAAGTCTTAGTTCCTTGCTAGGTTTGTCCATTTTATAAAATTTTGTCGTTTCAAAAAAGAAGAAAAATAGTTAGACATAAAATTTACTGTATTCTAAAATAAAATGGCATGTGGCAAGTTAAAAAATAAATGCATTAAATAAGATCGTTACCCAACAATTCAACATCTTTAACGAACATAAATATTCCAATTTTTGGACCAGCAATAAATGAAAAATCCCATGGATTACCAAAATAACGTGACAACTTTATTAACATTTGAGTTGGTAAAATCTACGGTGTGGAAGCATGGAATGATGGAAGAGAAAATTTAAGTGAGAACAATATTAAAATAGTGACCATGTTATATGTTATTAATGTTTTTTTGTTTAAAACGGTAGTCAGTTAACGTGTAACTTAATTATAAATTTTTTTCAACAAACAATTTAATCAATTTTAGAACTACTCATGAATTTATCTAGATGGGTCTTGACTTTAAAAATAAAAAACCAACTGTGAATTTTAGAACTACTCATGAATTTACCTAAGGGGTTGTTTGTTTTTTGTGTGAAGATCTGCGCAACCATTTTTGTCTGCACCGTGCAGACAAAGCGCAGACATATGTCCTCTCAGATTGTTTGTTTTTTGGAAGTACGTAGATCAAAAAACGTATGCGTGAGGTCTTCCTGGCGCAGACATTGGCCACTGTCTTCAAAGGTCTTAAGATCTCATTTTAACCTAAACAAAAAAAAACATGGGTCACCGTGCAGTTTCTTTTTTTTTTGGTTAAAAATGCATTTTTAATGTTTATGACATAAAATTAAGTTTAAAATTTCAATTTATTTTAACAACCGCAGACGTTTAAAAACAAACAGTCTTCTTATTGCATACTGCAGACATTTGATTCATCTCTTCTGCCGCAGAGACTTGCAAATATGATCCGCAGACTGCAGATATTTTGACTTCAAAAAACAAACATCACCTTAATACCATTGGACTTGAAACTCTTTATAATGAAAATATAACTAATAACTTTTTTCTTATTATTTTTTAATATTTTAAGTTTGTGCGGAGGCAAAGTAAGTAGAGGATACTTCGTTTTATTGCATATTTATGGATGTGACAATTTTTTGGAAATAGAAAATCTACCTGAATAAATAAAAATAATTTTGTATGTGTTGTTATTATATTTGATAAATATTATTTTTCTAAGATTTTTTTATTTTCTTTTTTTCACTTATTATTTTCTTATATTTTCATTTTTTTAAATTTAAAATCCACTTTTAGTATCGGTTATATATGGTTGATATATTAGTTTTATTAATCTTGAGAACAAATGTTTTAGCCATTTCTTTCCTTAGTAAAGATTTATATATGGTAGGTATGTAATACACATTTCAAGGGATTAACATTAAACAGTTTTTAAATCATGTATTTAGGTAAATGTTATATATATATATATATATATATATATATATATATATATATATATATATATATATATATATATATATATATATATCAATATTTTTCTAAAAAATATTAAGAAAATACTAAGTATTTTATCTATCTATAATATCTTTTTTAATTTGTTATATAACTATTAAATAGTATATATATATATATATATATATATATATATTAATATTATTTTATAC